TTTCATAAGATTTATTTTCTAAATAATCTACATTTTTGTGTGATGCATTTCACAACGTCTTTCAGATTTTTTTCTGGTAGGATTATACTAAAATGGCACAGCATATGCCATTTCATGCACTTTGATTTTATCAGTGTGAAAAATAAATGTTTCCACCATTCATCAGGAAGTGATATAAATTTTATTTAGCTGATGTAAGTGGTAGTTAGGCAGAAATACAAGAGAAATATTTGCTTGCTGATGAAATTCCATCCACATTTAGCATAAACTTGAATGAGGGCTACCAGATCTGGGCTGAAAAAATCTGAATGACTGTTACATGGAATAAGGAGTAAGGAGATACAGAAATCTAACTCTGTGCTATCATCTAGTGATTATTTGGATATCTGCAATCCAGATCTGGTAGCTACAGTTGGATATAAAATTAGAATGTCCCAAAACTAAACCTTATGCATAATTGGAGGAGTTAAGCTTAGAACCAATATATGGCTATTAATTACTTTTTAGGCATTTACCAAGAATCAACCTTGCAGGTCTGTGTTTTTGGAAAACGGTACTGTATTAATTTTCCCTAACAGTAAATCCAAAAATCAGATGTTTCACTTGAAAAAGCTGAAACTCCACATTCCATTTCCAGTACAGTACTTAACAAGCACCCACCTTGCCTCTTGCTTGCCTACAGTTACTAACAGTCTGCATTAATTCTTCCTGATACATTACATTTAAATAAATGTGTCATAGGCAGAACCTCAACAGGTGAAGAGTACTTTCCACTTTCGTTTTTGGCTTTTAATTGGTGCTATTCCTTCTATAAATACAGGGAAGCTCTTTGCAGCAATGTCGAATTTTTGTGGATTTCAAGTCGTGCCATCAAGTCGTTTTCGATTCCTAGCGACCACATAGATTTTTTCCTTGATCGTTGTTGCTGGCCATACCTTTAAGCGAAAATAATTTTGGCTGGCCATCCCTTTAACCAGATGCACGCGCACGAACCCTCCCGTAGGGGAGCGACTGAATTTAAAAATCGACCTGGGCACCCAGCGAGCGATGCCACAACGTTACGTTAAAGCGTGTTCTCTCTCTCTCTCGCCCCCTCTGGGTGAGGACTGAGATCGGCTGGAGTTGCTGAGCGCACCCTGTTACCTTTGGTTTATCAAAGCCGTTCCTGCACGGACGGGCGCAGTCCCCCAGCGGCTCCGCCATAGCGCTGAGGCCACCGAAGCCTTCCTTGTACCGGAGCCGCTCCTTTCGAAGGAAGGCCCGGGCCCTCCCAACTCCGGCGCGGGGAGGAGCCTTCTCACGTATCTCGAAAGGGGGCAGCGCAAAGAGGCATCGGGGGCGCTGCAGCTTGGGGGGGACCGACCTGGACGACCGCAGCGCCGAGAGTCGAGCGCCTATGAGTTGGATCCGTTGCGTCGTTACTAAATGAGCCGTAGTCAATGAAAAAGGACGTACTCCCGAGAAGAGACGTATAGTTGCGAACGTGACTCCAAATACTTCGCCGCGAGGATAACTTTTCTTTTTCTAGTACCCATTCTTAGCACGTAACAGTTCTTTAATTGTCCACGTCGCGCTTTGATTTGGTTAAATTGGGGGGGGGAGATGGATGAGGCTTTTGCCCCCAGGTCGGAAGAGTACACACGAATTTAGATTAATAAAATAACGGTGAATCCCACCCTGTCCAACCTTTCTTCACCTCCAGCTACCTGACTAGATATTTTCCAACTGACTGGATCGCTTGTTATTTCCTCCTGAACATACCTAATGATCTTCCCTCCTTTTATTATTTCAAAATGGTTTACCTCTCCCCCAAAAAGCATGTTAAATCTCAGAAGATTACTGATGCCAAGCAACTGGCAGATCGCAAAATCTGCATTTAACAGATTTTAAATTGCTACTTTCTTTACCTGCTATGTATAGGATAACCAAGTAGACTTCTGAAGGAAGTATTATTCTGGTCTAACAACTGGTCAGATGACTCATGAGATTGAACCTATCAGCCAATATATTTGAATTTTTTCCCTCATAATTTCCTTTAATGTTTGCTATTCTGTTGATATGCAGTATAAAAATCAGTGTAAGAGATGATATTATAGTACATGCAGTTTTTGCCCTTTGCGAAGTAGCAATAAAGAAATGAGGCTTGGTGTGGGAAGAATTGTCAAAGACACACATATAACTGCTTTACTCTGAAATACTGGGAGGAGGTGAACTGTGGCCTGATATACCTACAGAAGGAGCTGGTTTAGGTAGTGCTCATGATGTCTCATGTTTTTTTTTAAAAAGCCCTTGAAATAGAAAACTTGTAGTGAAAGAAGTGGACTAAGTCAGAATGGCTTCTTCCTCATTTTTTCATGGCAATCACTGTAGACCGGTGTTTCTCAACCTTGGCAACTTTAAGATGTGTGGACTTGAATTCCCAGCCAGCAAGGTTGCCAAGGTAGAGAAACACTGCTGTAGATAAATGGAACTCTCATCTGCTTTCTGCTTAGTGCAAATTACACTTTCACAGAAGGTTTTTTTTCCCCCCTTCAGAGAATGCCACTTGAATGTAGGACTAGCGTGTCCGCGTGCGAGTTCAGGCAGAAAAGACGCCTTGCCGTGATGAGAGTATCTTTTTTTTCAGGCAATGCAATAGACAGCCTGGCCTGGGAAGGGGAGGGAAAAGGGGAAGATGGCAGCCTCCTTGAAGCTGATGCACCGCTGCAGAGGAACGATCAATCTCATGCTGGGCAGGAATTTAATGCGAGGGACCCTCAGTTCCTTGTCCCAGGCGGTGGGCTGCAAATTTTTACACACGACCCCGGAAACCTTGGGTGAGCACCTGATTATTCGCGGGGAAACTGCTCTCTTAATTATTTGTTGGCAAACCTGGGGATTTGGTTGGGTGAAGGCAGCAGGGATGGGGCTGTGCTTCTACAGGCGTGGGCGGTTCAAAAAAAAAAAAATAGCAAGAATAGGACGGGTGCCAAACAGCGAGGACGTGGAGCTAAATGTATATTTTGTATTGCTTTGATTCCGTGGTATAGAGAAGGCTGTTGCAAGTGGCTGAGGAGGTTGAATTATGAGCTTTAGGATGGGCAGGAGCCTTCTGTTAATGTACGTCCATTTCTTGCCGTCATTTGTGTCACTGAGGACTTTCTTTCAGAATCAACAGAGTAATTTTAGAAGTTTGTCTTAGCGATATAATGTAGGCCAAAGGGGAGGGGGTACTTATATTTAGGTCATAACAGGGATCCCAAGAGTGGGTTGGCTGCCTTTTGTGAAATGAAATGCTTATGTAAGCATATTTTATATTGTTTCTCAGCTTGAATATAAGTCTTGAAAAAGTTAATCATACAGTGTAAGCAATAAATGTAGAGAAGCAAAACACTGCCACCATGTTTTGCTTCCTGTTACATATTAAGAGCAAGGTTTGCAAAATAGTGGGGGGGGGAAACTCTGGTAATTTCAGGCAGAATGCTAAGGGTTAAAAATGTGTTTCAATTATGCATTACATTTATAGTCCAGCCACATTTCAAACTTTCAGCGCCCTTCATGCATATACCTTAGGTTTAATAGGAGCACAATATTATTGTATATTGTGAATTCATATTTAAAAGATGTATTTCTGTTCTTTAGTCCAAAAGGATTCTCTCAGATAAAGTGGCAGATAGTTGACAGGAAGTAAATCTGACTAGGATGACTGAGGTTTATTTCCAGATACAATCTAAAATGAGGACTTCATAGTCTTATATACTGATCCAATCTCTCTGTGCATGCAAATATATTAGTGTACTATTTTTAATAAATTCACATACAGATTTTGCTTTAAAGTGAACTAAGCTGTGGAAGAATAGTAAAGGACATAGTTATTTCAGAGATTTCCATGCATTTACTGATACAAGAGAAAGTTGCTTAGCATAAAAACTACTCTTCTGCTAAAGGTGAATACTTTCAGTTCTGCTCCACTCAAGTCCAACAATATACAGCATAAGAGCTGAACAACAATCTTATGATTCTGGCTCAAAGAATGTCTGAAGGCCCAAGATAAAATTCAGCAGATGATGCTAACGCTCTTTGCTTTGAGCTGTGCCAGACTGGAAGAGTTTTTACTGGCTTAGAGGTGGGAAATGCTGGCCTCCATATGTTGCTGAACTACAACTCCCAATAACCCTTATTATTAGCAGTACAAGCTGGATCTAGGTGGTAGCTATAGTTCAGCAACAGTTGTTGGGTCATAGGTTTGCCACTTATCTCACAGAACTGAGTTATCAGTCTCTTTGAAATTCACTATAAATTCAGACTTTCACATTCATTGCAAAAAGGAGTGATCTCTTTATTATTTAGAAGTAAAGTATACCATATGCACAAATTTGTCATTGAACTATTAAGGTGTCCCCTCTCTAATCATGCTGTAGAGTTACCTGTGTTGTTTTTCAGCATTTACATTAATTTTGACCTGCAGGTGGCAGAAATATATTATTATACTTGTACAATTATTACAAAGGTATATTTTTTTATATATCATTTTTTTATATCAAATATAGTATTTGTACTGGGAGAGTGCTTTTAGGCTGACATACGTATGGTTGATACAAACTGAATATTAAAAGAACTAATTAAGACATTTATCTTACAGTTAGTACACTGACCACTTGTAATAAACCACTGTACAGTAATATCTATCAAGGCATGTATTAGTTTCTTAGTTATAAGATAACAATATATTAATCTTATATTAATAGAATCATAGGGTTGGAAGAGATCTTGGAAGTCTTCTGGTCCAGTCTCCCAGACATTCCTGTATAAATATCTTGTGACATACACAGTAGTTGAATAAAAAGTAACGCATCCACCTCCATAGTTTTAGTTTAAATAGGGATATTTTAATAAATGAAGTAGGTCAATAGTCCTTGAAATGAACTCTTTTCTTACCTCTCTTTATTTCACCACATAATCACCACCATTCACTACACTTCTGCCAACAATGGACAAACTTCTTAAAGTTGTCACAAAAGACTCCATGGTTTGTCTCTTCAACAGTCCTTTCTATCTCTTCATTTGAGTCAGACACATGCCCACAAGGCTATTCCTTGAATTTGGGGAAAAGGTGGAAGTCTCATGGTGCCAAGACTAGATTGTATGACAGATGGAATAAAATGGAGAGATTCAACATTGTAGTTGCCTTTTGGGTGGCTTGTGAGGTGTGAGGTCTAGTGTTGGTAATTTGCAGCAAAATTTCCTTCTTCTGTATCTGAACTCTGCTTAACCAGTCTTTCAATGTTTTGAGCAGTGTTTCTCAACCTTTGCAACTTTAAGAGGTATGGACTTCAGCTCCCAGAATTCCCCAGCCAGCGTGGATGGCTGGGGAATTCTGGGAATCGAAGTCCACACATCTTAAAGTTGCAAAGGTTGAGAAACACTGATTTTGAGCATCGCAGTGTAGTGCTCTGTGTTGATACAGGCATCAGGGTCAAGGAAATCCATGTAAATAACACCATCTGCAACCCAAAAAACGATAATCATGTGTTTTCCTGTCAAAACCTGATTTAAAACCAAAAAGGATTGTAAATTCAGTTTGTTCAATCAAGGTTAAAATATATATTTTTTCTTCTAGTAGCTTTTAATGGGTTTTCTTTAACCAGGGTTGAATGTCTAGGCTTTAAAGATTTACTATTAGATAATATATGGGAAGAAGGGATTTTTTGTTGTATGATTAGAGAAAGTGATGGGTTATGATGTTAAAATTAAAGAAAAGTGTTAAATTTGCAAAGAAATTTCTGAGAGGAGGCAAAGAGAAAATGATAAATTAGTTTGTGGGATATGATTTGAAGGGTTTAGAGATTAAGATTTTCTGGTAGCGCTTAATAGGATTTATAGGTTTGCTTATACAGTGGGGCAAAAAAGTATTTAGTCAGCCACCAATTGTGCAGGTTCTCCCACTTAAAAAGATGAGAGAGGCCGTCTCTCATAGTTGAGGTATACCTATGATGAAAATTACAGGCCTCTCTCATCTTTTTAAGTGGGGTCTCTCATAGTTGAGGTATACCTATGATGAAAATTACAGGCCTCTCTCATCTTTTTAAGTGGGGTCTCTCATAGTTGAGGTATACCTATGATGAAAATTACAGGCCTCTCTCATCTTTTTAAGTGGGGTCTCTCATAGTTGAGGTATACCTATGATGAAAATTACAGGCCTCTCTCATCTTTTTAAGTGGGGTCTCTCATAGTTGAGGTATACCTATGATGAAAATTACAGGCCTCTCTCATCTTTTTAAGTGGGGTCTCTCATAGTTGAGGTATACCTATGATGAAAATTACAGGCCTCTCTCATCTTTTTAAGTGGGGTCTCTCATAGTTGAGGTATACCTATGATGAAAATTACAGGCCTCTCTCATCTTTTTAAGTGGGGTCTCTCATAGTTGAGGTATACCTATGATGAAAATTACAGGCCTCTCTCATCTTTTTAAGTGGGGTCTCTCATAGTTGAGGTATACCTATGATGAAAATTACAGGCCTCTCTCATCTTTTTAAGTGGGGTCTCTCATAGTTGAGGTATACCTATGATGAAAATTACAGGCCTCTCTCATCTTTTTAAGTGGGAGAACTTGCACAATTGGTGGCTGACTAAATACTTTTTTGCCCCACTGTAGATATAAAATATAGGAAGAAGAGATTTTGTTGTTGTATTTTTAGAGAAAACATGTGCAAAAGAAGAGATATTTCTTCTTCAGGCCTGCCCCTTCCCTGTCAATCATTTAGGCAGAAATAGGCTTTTTTTAGGGTAGGCATGCTGGATGAGGAGGAATGGGTTTCTGTCCCTCTGCTGCTGGCATGGAATTGCAAGTTAATATTTGGGTGGGGGGTAAATTATTTATAGTCTCTTATAAAGTTGAAAATAAGTCCCTTGGCAGGTAAGTACATCTCTCATGGATTATTTGGACTCCATGTATAGGTTTAAGTTAATTCATCACAGTAGTATTATCCATCTAAAATGAAACCACATTTCACAATATGATCTGCTTTTGAAACATCATGTCAAGCTACCTTTCTTGCTTAATCCATACCTACAATTTCTCTGCTAGTCATATTGTAATAATGCTAAATAATTCACAGGTCAGTTACTATGACTGTTTTTCTTTACAGATTTGTTTAATTTGGATTTGTTATACATTGTTTAAGCCTAATGTGAGATCAGTTTGAGGCTAATACAAGATTACACTAAAAACCCCACAAATCTTCAAAATATTTTGTTTTTTATTAATATTGATGTTTCCCACAGAAATGAAATTAGAATACATTCCAGACTATTACATGAAATACTTATAACATGAAACTATGTAGCATCAGTAAATAGTTTTGTTTCCTGATCATATTATTTAGCAGTGTACTTAGATCACTGGTTCCTATTCCCTTCCTTAGGGAACTAAAGACTAGTACATTGCTTTTGGCAACTTTTGTAGGTCCATCATCTAAGGCTTTAAATATCTTTATATAGCCAATAGCCGAAGATAGTTAAATTTATATGCTAAAAACAGTTAGTTTGCTCTTTCAAAATGATACTACTGACATTATATTTGCCAGCAGTTGGTCTGCTGATGGGAAAATTGTAAGATTTAATGAGAAGATTGAGTACAGTATCTTACATGTCCCCCAAATCTCCCCACTCAGTCAGACCATCTGCAGTGGCCTCGGAAACATCACAGACAGACTGAGAATGTCTCCTTTCCTTTCCCATGACAAATATGGCAGTAAGACATCTTGTGAAAAGGAGCTTTTGAAAACTGTTGGAAGGAATAGGTTTTGTCTTTCAGAACCTAGTTCTGTATTTCACTTTTTAATATGTTCCACCCAATCTACCTTTTGCAATGCCAATGAGTACCTATTAGGTTAAGGGTATGATATGATGAGGTCAACTCAGTAAGCTTGTGGTACAACTTTCTTCACAATCCACAGTTACTCTGCCTTCACTTAATAGCAATTCTTTATACAACAACTACATGAATAACATTTAGCACACATTATGGTTCTGTGAATTTGGTAGAGCTTGCAGAAGCATCACATATCTGGTGGTTCTTAACGCAGCTGGTGGAACTTGCTTCTCTGCATACATTTACAGATTAGGATTTACTATGTTGGCTCTTCTCATGAAAATGAAACAATACTGACAATGATATGTTTTTTCTCCTCCCAGGTATCCCTGCTATTAAAATCATTATGCCTGCTTTATCACCTACAATGGAAGAAGGAAATATAGTGAAATGGCTGAAAAAAGAAGGCAAGTCTGAGCCTTCAGAATACTGTTTTGAATAGTGAAAGTTTAATATTTTATATTTTCCAATACAATCTTCTCCTGCTTCCTTTTTCCATCAAAAATTGATTGTCATGATGCTGCTATTCCATTGATTGCTATTTGCTGTGGATTTAGCATACATAATTTTATCAGTTTTACAGAGTATTGAAGGTGTAAGTAATCTATTTATTTATTAAATTTGAGTTGGTCCTTAACAAGCTTTGGCTGGATGTATAGGATAAACAGTTATTTTATGATTATGGGATAAATAAAGGAATTAAATTATGAAAAAGAAACTTATTAATCCATTTTCTATTTATACATAAGCAGTTTCTGAGGAAAAACTGAAAAGTATTTACAATTGCTGATGTAACTAAAATCTCATGATGTAAGTACTCTGGATACAAGTTTCCATTTGCAGAAGACTTCAGCTACCAAAAAGGCTGGCTTTGTTTGCATTGAATTCTATATCCAGTCCATATGCAACAGAAATAAGTGATAAAATGTTGAAGTGCCATTTTTAAAAACTTCCCTGTGTGTAAACCAATGCTTCTTCATTAGCAGAAAATTATTGCAGCAAATATTACATATGGCTGAACTCTTGGTCTGTAATAATTATGTTAAAATGTGAATTAAAATACAGGTAGCATTTATTGCTACTTCTTGATAACATAAATTATGATGTTGGGAATCTCTTGATTGTCAACTCCAATAACATGGTCCTTTATTTCCATTCTAAAAATGTGGGACTGATTTGATCAACATCTTGGTTTGTTCATGTTATTTGTAAAAGTTTAAACTCAGCCTCACTGTGTATGTTCCTGAGCTTAGTTTTTTAAACCTAGTGATTTTAAATGTCTTCATAACTTCTTGATATCTCTCAGACTTTGGATCTCATCTCATATCTAGGAGTATGTGTTCTATATTCAGAGAGACACCATATAACTGAGTGTTTACATTCTGAGAACTGTATTCTGAACTGAAAACAATTATTATGATACTGATTTAGTGAAATAATGGTAAATCCTGTGAAAGTCTCTTAGTATTTTTTTAATTCCTCCAATTTCTTGGGTTTTATTATAGTAATATTTTAGACACATATGGAACAAATTGCATTTTTGAACTTACTGAATAAATAGCTCATTATTTTCTCCTCCTCTTTTTTTTCTTCAGATTTATTATAGCTATCCCCTCCAAAAGACTCTCTTAAATGAAATGTCCACAGAAATCAAATACTGATTTTGAAACATTTCCAGTGACTGTTGTTTACAGTTTCCATTCCAAAGGCACATGATTTACCTGCATCGCTACCCTTCAATATTCTCTGTATTTTGTTTTTACATAAATGTAATAGAGGAAGTAGAAGTCAATGTTCTACATGTCATTTTAGTGACCTGGTTATTAACATTCTCATCATAATTGCTCAATATTTAAGTCTTTCATGTAGAAAATTATGAAAAATCCAATTTAGGGCTTAGGCAAGTCAGTTTGTTTACTTACAGGTAAGATGATTCAGTGACCACCTCCTTTTTTAATAAAATTGTCATTGCACACAATGTCAGTCACAGAATAAACCTTTGTTACTGCAGTTTTCTAAAGAGGAAGTACTGTACGTAGTAGATGTTTTGACTCCAGAACCATTCAGGATCCTATCCAGATTAACAGTTTAGTTCATTTTGAATGGAAGGCATCTAACCAACCTTCAGTAGACAAAGTTCTGGATCCATTAACTTATTAACATACAGAAACCAAAAGACATATGATCCTGAATTTAGGAGAAAATGCTAGCTAAATCATTTCATTTTAAAGATAGTATTGCATGTAGAAAACTTCTTCCGTTTGTTTTTAATTTCTGAAATGAAATACATATTTCTAAAAGGATTTTTGCTTCCCTCAGGAGCTTCTGAAAGCAATTTCAGATTACTTCTTAAATTTGTTTTGTGTGTGTGCGTATGTGTTAAAAAAAGGGAGAAACAGGACAGTACTGCTTATCTAGAGAGATTTTTAATATTAAAATATTAGTTTGCATGAAATTTCTGTTTAGAAGCTCAATGCAATGTATTATTTAGGAAAATTTTGTTTATTCTTAACTACCTGGTGTCCTTTACTGAAACAAGGCAGTGACCCCTCTCTTAAAATTTCAGTCTTTATTCTCTACTGTTGGATAAATTTAGTTTCTTTCTCTTAGGAACATTGGCATTTCTCCTGTAGTTGCCCCTTTTGTACCTTTTCCTTTTAATGCTGGATATTGCCATGAAATCTTTTCTGTAAACTTCCTTTGAATCAGGCTCTCATCCTTCATTTCTTTTGCTGATTTATACAATTTCCATCATTCCTAGTTAGCATTCGGAGAGTTGCAATCTTAGCACATTTGGAAAGAACCACATTGGGGAAGGCTTATACATACCAATTAATTAATCTTTCTGTACTGAATTAGATTTGCAAGCGATTCTTAATACAAGTGGTTGTACATCAGACAGTGGTCAATATCACTTTCTTTTCCTTCTCTCACAGTTTTTTAGATATGGGCAAAAACAATAAAGGTAAGGAAGCCATATGGATTCTCACTCAGTGCCACAAGCCGTATTAATTTTATCCCTAATTTACCTTGTTGATACTATTCTTACTTGACCAGATGTTACTTTTCAGTTTTTGAACCTATTCTTTGTCCTAGTTCCTCATGTACTTTGTACTTGGCTTTCTTCTCTTCTAGAACCAGCCACATGGTGAACTTGTTCATGAATAAAGCTGCAACTGGCAATCACGAATGTTGGAGACACCTAGAATTTGAACATTTAATACAGGAAGTTGCTGTGAGTTCCTGCTAGAATCAGGAACTCATAGTAATAGGATTGTATTTAATTTAAAAATATGGTAATGAGGGACTGATAATACTTGTAATGCCCATTATACTACTATATGTCTTGTAAATGTTCAATTATTATTTATTTGTACTGAAATGCACTTTCTTTATCAAGAAACAATTTTAATCACTATGTTCATTGCAGTTATTAACAAAACTCATAGTGTTTCTAAGTTAGTTGATAGTATTTTTAAATTACAAACTATAGTTTATAAACTTAATATAAACTGAATTGGAACCCATGAAATTTTTAAAAATGTTTTAAAGGTCGAATTTTATTTTCATTTTACAGGAGAAATGGTGAATGTTGGAGATGCTCTGTGTGAAATTGAAACAGATAAAGCAGTGGTTACAATGGAGTCAAGTGATGATGGCATATTGGCTAAAATAATGGTAGGAGTAATTTAAGTATTATAAATTACGGCTTTTAGAATATTGTAGCCTTTAGAATATGCACTTAACTTTCACTAGACTTTGATTTATTTTTCATGGTTTTTAATATTTTATTAGAATTCCTTGGCCTGGTGCCCTCCAGATTAGCATACAATTCCCAGAATTCAAAAATCATGATAACTGAGAGTTCTCTGTGTTGCAATTCCTACAATCACGGGGTCATTAAGCAAATCACGCGGGATGCTAAGTTGGGGGAAAATAAATAAATATGTTTGGTTGTGTATGTGAATTTGTGCATATAATTGGTCTTATATTATCCTTTGCAAAAGCATTAAATTATTAGTATTCAACTGAATGAATGTTTAGATTTTTCATGACTGATTTTTAAAAAAATTTATTCATTTCATTTTTCATACTGTTTCTTTTAAAGGTAGTCCTCACTTAATGACCATTTGCTTAGTGACTGTTAGAAGTTACAACAGTGCTGAACAAAGGCACTTACAACTGGTCCTCGCACTTAAAATTATCACAGCAACCCCACAGTCACATGATTGTGATCCGGGTGCTTGGCAACCAGCTTGCACTTACGATGTTTGCAGTGTCCCAGGGTCATGTGATTGCCATTTGCAACCTTCCCAGCTGACTTCCGGCAAGCAAAATAAATGGGGAATTGCATGATTTGCTTAATGACCCTGTGATTTGCTTAATGGCCATGGTGATTCGCTTAATGACTACTGCAAAAAAAGTTGTAAAACTGGGTGTGACTTAACAACTACCCCACTTAACGAATTTTCCAGTCCCTATTGTGGTCATTAAGCGAGGACTACCTGTATATGACATCTATCATAAAGCAATAATAGTTGCTTTATGAATATTTGCTATTCTAAAGAACTTTAAAACCCTGCTTGGCAGAATTCAGAAAGGATAACATATTGAAATAGGTTTACAGATTTCTGCAACAGTGATGCAGCTACAGTCCCACAAGTCTGCTCAGTTGGACTCTTGTGCCCCCACCCCCAGAGCCATTGTCACCAGCCAACCAGTGGGAAGAATCCTAGAAACTTGTTTGTTTACTTTTAAGTTATGTTTATTGAATATTTATGATCATTCATTTTGGGAGGATTTCTTATCCTAAAATGTGGATATAAAGAATTATAATAAATAAACATAAATCATATGGCTGTAAATCTGAACTAGGAACTATGTAAGTTGTGAAAAAATCAAAACAATTTTCTAGGAATGAGAATGTGAATAAGGCCATTGTGAATTGAAAATATTATTCATGGAAAATTGGCAAATCGATAAAGAAATAAACTGTTAAGGTGGTCTAACATTACAGTTAATAGGCATATATTATTTAGTTGGTTATTAATGTATGCATGCATTCTATTTGTATACCACCAAATCAGTACAGACTTATAGCAGTTTACAAAAAAATTGACAGAAATTTTAATTCTTCCCTTCTACAATACATTGAAAAGTAATGTTTGGTGTTGATTTGGTAATCATACGTTTACATTGAAGTGTAACATTTTTGAAATGTTAAAAATGTTTTTTTATTAGTTTAAACACAAAATATATTTTGATGAAACAGTTTTTATTATTATTCATATGAATCTATTTAGGCTTGTTTTGGTATCAGAATATGATTGTTAGGTGGATCTGACAAATACCTGCTTTTGAAATCATGCAATTATTTAATGTTGCATAACACCATGCTTTGGTTTGAAAGAAATATATCACCTACCACATAATTCTTAGGTTGAGTAAATATCTTTTTGCATTGCCAGTATGATGAGTAGTTGTAAAATAGTAGAGACTCAAAAATTTGCAGATTAAAAATACTGCCAATGAAGGAGATATGACAGAAAAGAACACTAACCATTCAAAGCCTTATGCAAAAGTCCTTTTGTCAGCATATTTTATATAAAGTCTGAATTGTATACACTATTATGAAGAGTACTGCTGTTGCATGTTAAAATCCCATTACAGCAATGTCATACTGTAAAGTTGCTTATGTAAATTCAGATCACTTCACTGTTCTTGATATTGAACCTGCAGTCAGTTGAAACTTTCTGCTTAACTACGCTTTGCAAATGAGTATCAAAGACAGCTTGATATATGAATGGAATATAAGATACCATCCTGAGTACTTAAGAAGAAATCAAGCAAGAAAATGCCTGTCTGGAGTTTAAGATAATGGGGCTGCATATTTTGTTAAGACTTAACTTTTCACAATGTAAGATTCACACTGTTGGCAGCCTCTTGTGAAACCATAATGGGTGCCTTCTATCAGTTCTCCAGAGCTGCATCATTTTCTTTGAGGCAAGTGCTTGATCTTGGGTAGATAGACTTTAATGAACCAATTTCCTACATAAATCTCATTAGAACAGTTAAGACATATGAGAAGCAAAAAATAAAAAAGTAAATATTCCTTAGTAAATGACAGAAGTACAGATCATATGGAAAATAATTAGGACTTTTTCCAAAAGGGTTTCCAATAACTTTTATTGGCATTGCTTTTTGGTTGTTTGCTTTTGTTTTTAATGGATCAGTTAACGTAGCTTCATCACAATTAGTTTCAGACCTTTTTCATAAGGGATTTTTGTTCTATTTTTTCATAATTTCAAATTTTTAGAAATAGTGTATATCTAATAGTGAGCTTGCAACTTCCCCAATTTTAATAGTGTTCATCAGAGTCCACAGAAGGAGTACAACATAGGGTAAGAGATGAAACATGGGTTGTTTTAGTTATTGTACTGGTATGAGGCAACCTAATGCAACTGAAAGGGTGGAGCTTGTATTGTGACATCACAGCACAGGCCTCACCAATTTGGGCAGCTGTAGACTCCTATCATACACTTCCTCCAACTATAAAATTTTTTAATAAGGTTAGTTTCTCAAATCCATTCCTGTCTTAATAGCATGCCAGTTCATATGGTAAATCCCAATTTTTTAAAATTGACTTGAGCATATATTTCATTGAAACAATAACACTTTAATGATTTTTAGAGCAGGCAAGTGATTACTTTTTCTTCTGGAAATCAAGAAAAAATTGGTATATTTAGTTTTAGATATCCCATGGGCATTGGTAGCTGAATAAAGATTCCTAACGATGGTATAAGGGGTTATAAAACAGCCCTTTCCCTTAAACTGAATGTAATTAATAATTGAACAGTTAGATTTACTATATTTTTCCATCAGTTCTTATAGGAAAATGAAGCAGTATAATGATTAACTCTTCATTCAGTTTTTACTTCAAGCTCCACCTGTTGTGTCTTCCAGTTTAGTTTCAGATGAGACAGATGTAAACATTCCTTCTTACATTTATGAATTCTTTCCAATAAAGAGCAGTATTTGTAACAGTATTTGAAAAATGAGGTATATCATCCATATCATTTAAAATCAAAGGAACCTCTTCAATGTTATATAAAACTTTATTAGAGACTCAGCTTTAGAATTCTTTATGATTCAAAGGAATCATATAGAAAAGAAAGAGGGAAACAAAACTGGATGGAAATGAGGTGAGAGGAAGTGGTAACTGGACAGAGAAGGAAAAAGAGGGAAGGAAATCACCTAGGAGTCAACAAGGATTACATTTATCAGACAGTCTCTCCCAAGCAATAGCTAATCTTGAGGCTAGTCTTCAAGGACATTCACACATTCCAGAAGTGAGGTCTGCAACCAGTTGTAGTTCTTGCTCCTTGGCTGTCAGGTTTCTTCTTATCAGCAAATGCAAGGCTCCCCGCACACCCCAGTCACATGCAGTTATTGTGGGGGACTCTTTTTATATTTTACTATGTAAATATAGTATATGGTGTATTATGTGACCAGCATAAAATTTGGATAAAATTATATATTACAATTAGTTTAATTGTATGTTTGCAGACTAGGATTGATTTAAATTTTAAAATGGGTTGTTCTGTAAATGACCTAAAACTGTATTAACCCCATAAGTCTACAGCATTATTTTTTTTCCCCTTCAATTTCAGAAGGAAGAGGGAAGTAAAAATGTACGCTTGGGTGCACTAATTGGTTTGCTAGTGGAAGAAGGACAAGACTGGAAGCAAGTTGATATACCAAGTGTCATCAGTGATGCACCTTCTAAGTCTGTGACCTCAGCAGCATCAACGGCCTCTTCTCCAACTCTTTCTGCTACTCTCCCATTAGTGCATAAAACAGAAGATCATCCTGGAAAATTACAGTCAGTCTCTGGGTACCTCATGAACTGATGCATTTAGATTGAGTAGCTTAGTCTTCAGTAGAACTTTGCATTGTTCTGTGTGAGAAACTAGGTTGTTGCTGATGCATGGAAAACCCCTGTCTTAATGTCCTATTCTAAAAGCTGAAGAATAATCAGGAAATCATCAGAGTAAAATATAAAATTTACCCTAATTTCTCACTACTTTGTACTCTTTTAATAGAGGTTATAGAAACTTCAGAAATTCTAATTTCAGTCCATTTATCCTTGGTGACGCTAGCAGTGCTATAGCAGTAACTACAGGTTAGAAATTATACTTCTCTGTGCATAACCATTATAGAAATAGGGAATGAAGTAAGTGGAAGGACAAGCCTTTTACATTAGTAATTATTTTTGTGAAGAGCTTTATTTATTTACAATGTTTATAGAACAGCGATTCCAAGAAAATAACAGCAATTTACAAACCCATACAATCCACAAAACAACAATAAAATATCCCACCAGCACAAATCTACTCCCTGGTGTCAGTATTATTATTGTGTGTTAGATATCAAAGGCCTCATAAAAATGTTCAGTCATGACTGTCTTCCAAAATGCAGGGGCACCATTTTCATCTCCAGAGGCATGATGTTCCTTATCAGGGGCATAGATGTGAGGAGTCTTTTCCTATAAAGTGACCATTGATGTATGGTTTTCCTGACATTTCAATGAATGGCAATATAAGAATAGTGTTTTGTTTTTTAACTAAATAGGCCAGGTTTTGGACAAGGTATCTTAAAACAAGGCTAATGTAATGGCTCCAGAAAAAAGTACCTAATATTTTATCCAACATACTTCTGATCCACGTAGATTAATTCTGTCTGTTTAACTGGTAGGATGTCTCCAATATATCCCAATATGATATTTTTCCATTTAGTTAAAATTGTTTATATGCTTCAGCTGTGGCTATGGTAGTATCTGTTGTTTAAAGTTGATTGTCATATAACATTATAGTTTATTAAAGGGCAAAACAGATAGAGGGGTTTTTTTTTCATTTGTAGGTAATTCTTTTTCATATATATAAAGGAGAAAAGCATTAATCACTGGGACAAATCTTTACCAGTTCAGGAATCATCACTTCGAAAGCAGATATAACGAATATACGCAATAAAGCAGCATTTTCCTTCAGGATGTGTTGAACTATGTCTTGTCATCCTGATAATTACCATTTTGACTAGAGTTGATGGAAACTGTATACCAACACATCTGAAAAGTACTACATTGGGGGTGCTTAGTCTGTGTCTGCAGAGTATTCTTAAATATGGTTCTTGTTAGCTATTGCTTCCCTAGGTAAATTGTTTTTAATTTTTAGACGTTGTTGGGGAAGACGTCAATATCATTTAAATAATCAGATAAAATTGTTTTGACATTTAAAATTTAGAATGAACTACTGTCAAAAGTTAAATATGGGCCTTATGGTATATACATTTATTTAATAAATTGTGTTACTTTTTTGTATGTACCCTTACAATACAGTTGTACCTTTGCCGTTTAGGTTTCGCTTAAGTCCTGCTGCCCGTAATATTTTGGAGACACATGGACTTGATGCAAGTCATTACACACCTTCAGGACCTCGAGGAATTTTCACAAAAGAGTATGTTATCCATCTTTCTCTTTATGTATTGTGTTCTTTAAAATCTGTTCTTTCTTATTTTTGTAATGAAGAACCAATAATACCAGTTGGTATCTTACTTCCCTTGCACATGGATCTTTGTATTAGTTGTAATAGGGTGAAAAGCAGAAAGGAATATGGGGATGAAGGAATTAGTTTGTCAGTTAAGTAGTATGAAGGCTATGGTATAGAAGTGCCATGGCAGTATTTTAAGTTACATACTGAGTAAAAGCTTGAGTCCTGGTGAATTATGGTGAAACCCATGGGTATAGAAATAATAGATTTTAGAAGGGAAAGAAAGCGAAAAAGTGAACCAGTATTTTTCAAATATGGCAACTTTAAGATGTATGGACTTCAGTTCCCAGAATTTGAAAAACACTGGTATAGACAATACAACCTGTAATAAATTAGTAGGAAATGCAGGGAGATAAAATATTAACTGTATCCAATGAGACTTAATGGCCAGTTCATCTGCAAAAATCTACCTAAAGTATGCAAACATTGCTGTCCTTGGACTACATAAGACAGCAAGCTCGTTTAAGAGAAAAGAGAAGGAGCTCTGGTCCTAGAAACAGGGCTTCAGTGGCAAAATGGAGTGGTCAGACGATGGGAGGATCGTAAGAAACTTTACAGAGCCAAGCAAATACTGTGCAATACCAAAATTAAGTTTAACAGTGGCTTGGCAGAGTTGAAGGAAATAGAAAAAGAGGAAGATCATTGAAGAAATGGATGGATGGGATCAAGTAGACTGCTGCAATGTATTTGGAAGAGCTACAGTTATCGCCAGAGGCAAGTCAGTATAGCAGGCATCTGTCCATACAGTCACCAAGGGTCAGGCCTGAGTCAGCGACACCTGACTAAAGTCAGGCAGAACAAAGACATTACACACAACTGCCATTTAAAGCAGCTGATTTTTGTTGAAAAAGGGTTGCTTCAAGATTGAGTCATACACACTTCTCTGTCACAAGCACCGAAAGATTTTCTTCCATCTAGCTCCTCTGTGGCTGCCACAATTGCGAAAATGCCATGCTTTTAAAGGAGTGGTTAAATCAGTTATAGTAGTGGCTTCTGATTCTGCTTATAGAATGGCGGAGCCCTTTTAACTATAAAACAATACCACCATGGCTTTATTACCCCCTCTTTCACCGGAAATATATGGGAGGGACTTTGGGAAGATAG